TGTTACGTCATCGATATCAGCGCAACGCGCAACAGGTTAAATAGCAACGCAAACACAGCATTGCATTAGTATCATTTCCGCTACATTTCAAGTTCACTTGAGACGTATGCTGATTTTGATCTTCAAATCTCATTTTCGAATATTTTCTTACCGGCATTAATTCGTGAATTTCGAGATATTTTGCTAAGCAAAGGAAGAAATATACAACGTTGAACAAAATGAATAACTTGGTGAGTCCATAAAAAAAAAAAAAAAAAAAAAAATTATTTACAACTATCACAAAGTCGCCATACCATTATGAACATGAGCAGAAATGATTTCATCTTTCTAATCAGTTATTTATTATCATTAAGAGTATAGGTCGATTGAATAAAGGTAGAGAGAAGGCGATATTATAATATGGGGCGGTTTTACATTTTCATAGGGGGGCTAGGGAACTTTAGTGTTCTTGAATTCATTTTCTACATGTGCCTTGCTCAAAATCATTTATAATCAAGATTCTTTTGAACGGAGGTTTAAGCCAAAGCCCTTCTAGAACCTCTATCGAGTATGATCCTTTCAAACTTTCAAACTTGAAGAAACCTTTCGCATACTGATCAAAAATATAATTGAGGGGGTGAAGAAAATAATGCAATTAATAATATTAAATCTAAAAGTATGTTTTTGTTTAAGATACATGGATATAGAAAATGTGTTGTACGTATTGTCAATGTGTAAATTATAAAACTGAGAACTCTAACAAATTTCGGTTTATCAGGCGTAAATTAAAACTATTTGTTTATACATTTCACCATTAAGTTTATTAAACAAAATTATTTCAAGAAAAAACAAGCAAAAATATTTAACTTTATTGTCTGATATTTCCGTTCCAGCTTGTCAATCAATCACAACCCCGACCCCAGAAAGGCCTGACGACCACCAGTCCTGCAATAATCGACGACGAAGAGCAGACTGCTACGTGGCGTCCTTGGCACTGGAGGATCCCCAATCTCCACATCGCTTCTGCAGTCCGCTCTCTCTACTTCAGACTTCGAGGACGCACACCCGTGATACTGCTAAAACCCAATGACAATGTCAATGGCGTCAGTACTGAACAGAGGTCATCAACTCGCAGGAGAAACAAGGTCGAGCCTCTGACACCGGTTGCTTTCCCAACAAGCAGTCATAACTGCCTGCAGCCATCTGTCAGCAAAAAGAGCTCAACGGTGGCATCAAGCTCCTCTATGAAAGCAATTCGTGATGTCAGCACTCCCAGTCGATTCTCCCTCCCTGGTGCGGTGGGTGAAAGTGAAGTCTTCGCGACCGACAGAACTGATAATAGTCAATCAAGCAGCGACCACGTCTTGATCTACCAGCACGTAGGAAAGAGTCGAGATAATGACAAAGCCGCTCTTGATCTTGCATCTGAGGCCAACCTCAAAGATTCGGAGATTGACAAGGAATCGACTAGAAATGATAGAGACATTATCCAAGGTGAAATTGAGGACACGCCGTCAAAAGACAAAGTCCATCACCCGGTCGCTTTCCTCGTCATTCCTCACTCACCCTCATCGTCACCAAGTAGTGGAACCGACGGTGATGTTGATATCAACATTCAAGACAATGAGTTGAATATTATGGATGAGGTATGTCAACCAAGGCCCTTCTCGAGAAGGGGGAGGGAATGCTGGGAAGAGCGAGAGCCTAAGACACCATCTCCATTTGAAGGAGATCTTGCAGAAGAGGAAGGTATGATTATCGGATCATCAGTGGACTTTAGCAAGCCTGATGATACCGACAAAGCAATCCCCTGGGTCAAGAGTGGGGAAGCCCCAGTGGAGGATTTTTCTGAACTAGATGAAGAGATCGAATATTACGAGGATAATAACAAAGAGGGCGATGACTACCTCGACATGGACAAGGTCTTGAGGAAGTGCGCACCGACAGATGTCCTCAGGAATCTGAGAGATTATGGTCCAGCTCTCAAAGAACACCACCAGCCAGCTTGAGAAGGCTCTTCGACGAGCAGCTCGTATCTCTTGCGGTCCCTTCCCTCGGCTTCCCGGCTCTGGTCTTTCCAAAACTGAGATCATCGACTTAAAGTGCACGAAGCTTGTGGGCGAATCGGAGCAATTTCTTGGAGAAATGAACAAGAACTTCCTGACCTTCTACACCGTCCAAGAGCAGATGGACAAAGTCAGCGCCCAGCAGGACAGCTTTGTCTCCTCCATCCTGGTAAAGAGAGGACCGTGTCGCGACTGGCGCAGGGGTCATGCTGCCATCATGAGGAAGATGAACAAGCTCTGGAGCAGAGATTATCCCAGGGTAATCCCCAGGAAGCTGAAGGCAAGCATCCAGGAAACCATCTATGAAGAGGATGGAGAATGAGGGCATAGACGCCAACTTTCCGGTGTAGGGCATGTACAGGATTGCAAAGCAGCACGGTGAGATGCATACAAATCTAGGAGACGTCTAGGGAGTGGATGATGAGTAAGGGCACGAAAGCTAATGTCTAACAGGGGACAATTAGACAATTAGAACTGAAGGGTTAAACACCTGGGCCCCGTCTTACAAAGAGTTGATATCAATAGCAACTTATTTGCGATTGATATCAATCGCAACTATGTACATTAGAGATAGGAGACTGCAAACTTGCGATTGATTGGAGGACTTACGATTGATTTGGATCAATCGCAAGTCTTTGTAAGACGGGGCCCTGGTCAAAAAGTTAAGAAGCAAACCATGACCAACTTGCACAGGACCAAGTCCAGAGAAGGAACCATTCCCAAAGCACACACAGGACTACATGGACAGCCCTCTGAGAGCATGACTTGTGATCTGTTGAGAATGATTCAAAACAATGAGGCTCTTTACAATCTCAACCTTCTGGGCTAAGCGCCTCATCCAAAACCTTTCTGTACTTCCTGTCAAACCTGGGCAAGATACCAGGCATCAGGAATCATGATTAATAAAGACATTTATCTGCTTTACAATGATATATCAACCGTAAAATACCAGAAATGCAACTTCAACATGATCTATCTGGCGGAAATTAAAATGTACAAATAAAGCAATATCACCTTGCCATGGAAACGGTATATGTGTGTACTTTGAAATAAAGTGAAAGTAAGCATACTGAATGTGTCCCCCCTCTACTTATTACATTTTACTTAGTGTTGGAATGAAAAGACAATGGTTGATCCTGAATAGATGTCCCCCTCCCCCTTTTTTGTTTTTGTTTAAGTCATCAAGGTTGAACCTATTCTATCTAAAAAAGATTCTCTCCCCCCCCTCCCCCACTGAAAAATAAAATAAAAATCCTAGAGCAGTTTAAAAGCAGCGGATTGCTTCAAGAACCAAAATGTTTCTATTTCTACAACAATTTATTTTTGTATTCATTATTATTGATAACATGTGTGTTTTGAGATGATTATGAAGGTTGTGAATCCATTTTCATTGATGATTGATAAATAGTGAGAAAACGAGAGAAAATGAGTATTTCATTGTGAGAAAGGACATGAATAAAACCAATGATGATTTATGTTAAAGGGAAAAAATATCTTCATGGAGTTGCTTCATGTTTAAAGCAGAAAATATATACCTAACATTTATCAATATGCATAGTCAAGCTCTAGTACATGTTTATCATCAATATACAATTCATTTAGAATTACAGAAAGGTAAACAGATACTAACAATTACAATTCGTAATAATAAAACTTTATCGTACATTAAAGATATTGCAATCAAAACCAAAGTGGAGGTCATTGACTCCTGGTCAAACTTTTGCGATTATTAAAGAGATGTATATAAAGTAGCATTTCTGGCAACCTTCTAAAAAATCGTTATACATGGAACATTAAAAATACATGTATATTCTTTTCAATACTAATTATCTGGGGATCCAGAACGGCAAAGGATTTTAGCATGGCACATAAGACAATCATTCTCGAGCAATCGAGAAAATTACAGTACATAGAAGGGGAAGAGAGAAAGAGAGAGAGAGAGAGTGAGTGAGTGTGTGAGAGAGAGAGGGGGAGAGGAAGAGAGAGATAGAGGGAGGAAGAAAGAGAGAGAGAGAGAGAGAGAGAGAAGATTTGGCAAATAAACAAGCAAGACAATATGAGAATGTAATAAGATCTTGATGCGTCAAAAAATAAGAATCTATCATTATACACTGGCTTGATAGCAAGAATAATCGTTCATTAAGAGATAGGACAGGAGAAAGGAGAGAGCCCTATAGGGGGCAAGGGGTAAAGGGATTCTGGAGGGAGAGGAAGAAAGAGAGAGAGAGAGAGAGAGAGAAAGAAAGAAAGAAAGAGAGAGAGGGGGAAGAAAGAATGAAAGAAAGAGAGTGGGGAGAGAGATTATGAGGTAAATGAGTGCGAATAATGAATTTAGATCCCAATTCTCTGATGAGAAGAAACGCCCTCTTTACTGCCAGATGTAAATAGGTTGATAATTTTCTAAAGAAATTAATACCTTTGAGAGATTACCATAAACATAATAACTGTTCTTAAAAATATAAGCACAAAACTTTGGCAAACATTCTAAACCCTGAATAAAAAATATGCCAACGATTATGTTCGGACGTTCGAGAGACACCGCGCGAATACATGCCTGTACAACAAAAAATATACCGGCTTCAATGCATGGCGTCGGCGGTTGCTAGGGGTTACGATACCAATTACGCACTACGCACAGCGCCATCATGTAGCATCAACCGGGTTTATTATAGTCGCGATCCTCTTGCTCTCTCACGTGTGGAGCTCATTCTGAAGAGTTTATCGACTTCTTCCATGGACTTTTAACGGACGGGATCCAAAAGCACCCCTCATCAGAGACCAGTTACAATACCAGGAATAAAAAGTCAACCAACCGTCTCAGAGCCAAACTATTTGAGGATGGAGTCATCATTCCCTGCAATTGACGCACGTTGATGAATGAACTATTCAAACGGTCAATAACTGGCCAGGTGACAAAAGAAAACTTATCACGCTCCAGAGGAGCTTTCCTTTATTACCACTTCATTCAGCAGAGACTCTTCGAAACTGGTCTTGTTTACAACAATCAAACTCCCGGACAGTAAACGGAGTAGGGGAATGAGTTTGAGGCGCACATTTGTCAACTAACATTGTCGATAGTTTGGTAGAGACTGACGAATTACTAAGGAAACAAAACTGACGACGGGACAGCTTGAAGATGGAGGTTTCGGAGCAAGAAGCAGGAGGTGATTTACGCAATGAAATACCAGAGGTAAGCCAGGAAACACCATCGAAACGTTTACAAGAATCCATTCTATACTCTCCGTCTCTGCCTTGGAGACAACAATACAGCCACCAGTCCCAGGAGCGGTTGTTTGTTCGTTCCGATTTGTCATGTTTGCTAAGCCGCTACTTATCCGGGCAAAGAACTCCGCGAAGGGTATGGTATCCGTGTAGCCTAGTGTATCTTTCTATTGAGGTTAATCATTGTTAATGTTAGATGTTAGTTTAAACAGTTAGGAATACAGATATACGATACACGTAATATTAGACGGGGGTGTGTCGGTATTTAACACAAAGAAAATAATATTCATCAAAAAGCGCACACCGTTATTAATGTCCTTTGTGATATTGTCCAACAAAGGTCTTCAAGATTTATGAAATATTGTATGTAAACTGCTTCAAATTAATTACCGTTTGAAATAAGCTGTAACCATCCTGTCCGGACACACGACCTGTGGATATTATTAACATTTTCAAGTAAAGAATGTGGCCCGTATTTCTGAAGGTCGGAGTTCACTTAAACCTGACTTATGGGGCGTTGCAATTAAGTCCAGAATAAGTCGGGTTAAACTGAACTCCAGAATGAAAGCAGAGTCTGCGTCCAGTCTATACGTTAGTTTTCACAGAATACGCTGCGTTCAGAGATGTTCATGAAAACATAGCAGAAAAGCATAATGAGCGACACAAATGACCTCAAAATGATGTGCAATTGAACAAAATAATATATATTCATAAACTATCGGTTTCGGTGTAGCCTATATCAAAGATGAAGATACAATTAAGCTCGTTGTGTTCGGGGTTGTGTGTCCAGCGCTTTAAATTTATAAGCTTAAATATTTATCCTTTAATGATATTGTCTAACATAACTCCTAAAAGACTTATGAAATATTGCCTGTAAACTTCTTCAAATTACCGTTCTAAATCAACAAAACCTGTCCGGACAACAACGTCTGGGTATACTGCATGACTTCGAAATAATTTGAAGTTCAAGTTCAATACTGTCACTTGACAGGACTCACAAACCGCCTTTTGACCTTACACGTCAATGGTGACCCGACCTACATGTATATTATTGGATTACCCTCATCCACAGACCAATACCTGGAGGATCATCTCTCTCTCTCTCTCTTGCTATTTAGTGCATTTTGTCTCATATTCAATTTCTGTACTCTTTGAGGAGTTGAGGTTTCTCGCCATTCATGTATACACATTTTTGTTGTTGTTGTTGTGTTTTGTTTGTTTGTTTTTTTTTTTTGGGGGGGGACACTATTCTTTCGTATTTCCAACTCTATTTGATTAAGGGAAGGAGCTGGGTATGCATTGCTTGCGTCGTTTTAAATGGATTCTGTCAAATACAGACTTTCCTTTATACACGCTTTTCTAATTTTAACAACTTAATTTCATTGACATTTTGCAAATTATGCAACATTCATACAAGCTCCAGTCGGTGAAAAGAAGAAAATTAATGACCGTTGGTGTTATGAAACCTTCGCCAGAAAAATGATTCCCATTGATTAAATAAAGTAGAAACACAATAGCGAACAATCATTCCCCGGTCTGTTGTTTCTAGAGAGGTGTTACTTGCAGTGGCCTCGTCAAAGAGAAAATAAATCATTGCATAATTGAGGTATATAAAGTGAGGTCGTGTCAGTCAAAAAGATTTCATTAATGAAGGTTGGCGTTGCTAATGAAAATTGAATGAAAATTCATCACCATACGGTAGTAACGGGCAATGTAATTGGAACTTTAATAAAGATCAAGTTTTTACGTGGAATCGAGCACACACGCAAACAAATTTCCAGGCACTACTTTTTCTCAAATAGATCTATAACCAAACCTGTTCGAGCTCGTACCCCCCCCCCCAACCTCTCTCTCTCTCTCTCTCTCTCTTTATATTTATCTCTCCCTTTCCAATTCTCCTCCCTCTATTTTTCTTTCTCATCCTACATGTACACGTACCCTCTCCACTTGTTTCTACATGTATATATCTTTAATTTATCTATTTATCTATCTGCATGTACATTATACCTATCTTTTTTTCCTTCTCTCTCTTTCTGTCACATTCTGTCCATATTATGTCTCTTTTCCAGTCTTTTACTCATTTTTTACCTTAAAATCTTTATTGTTGGTCTCAAATATATACTGAATCCTGTCAATAAGCTCCCGTACATTATCTTGTATTTGGCCAAATTGAGAGAAAATGCTGATATTAAATCCACGGTATCTGTTAAGATGGTTGTGAACAAGTCTTGAAACCTTTTAGTGTATTTAAAGTGACCATGTTACCTAGGTAACGAGACGCAAGTCACGATAGTGAAGTAGTCGATCGTGTGAGTTTATTTAAAGAACGGTTAGACAAGAAGAATTCCGGAGTATGATGATGATGAGAAAACGAGAGAGAGGCAGAGAAGAGAAGGAGAAACTAAAATATTGCCATGGTTTCTCAAAATAAAATTTTAATTTCCCCAAGTACATTTATCACACCTGAATGAAAATGTCATAGGAACACGTTGTCACCTTCAGTTGTTACTTCATTATAATCATACTCCTGAAGCACATTAATCGACCAATCGTCAAGGAAATAATTGATTTTGTGAAAAATGTGTGACAAGCGCCCACCTTGAATTAGGTGATAAAATCAAGGAGCATGTTTAATTTCGTCTATGCAAGAAAGGGCATTGTTGGATGCATTCGCTTACCTTAAATCCTGTCACTCCAATGTAGCATATTCTAATTAATGACACCATGGTTACAAGCAATTTACCTGATTGAAATTTAACATCCACGTTAAGCTTTTAAAGCCTCCAGTAGTATGCTGTCGTCTGAAGCTTGTCTCATCCAACATACATGTTACCTGTGTAAAATGACAGTGCAGCTCTGTCTCAAGGTCGTCTATCCTGAGGTGTGTTGCCCTCCCCACTCCTCGGATAAGGGATTTCATAATTGTGCAGTGTATGCAACCCTTCCAACTGAGGATACAATGCCCCTTATTTAATGAAGTCGGAACAATTACTCTATTGCAGAAAAGGAGAACATCCTCCTTGTAATTGTATAACAAAACTCATACATGTACCTTTCTGTGGTTCGCTATGAGTGTCTAATACTCGTGCTTTCATAATTATGAGGGTGCAGAAACGGTTCTAGAGGATTAATGGGGGCCTTTTTTGGGGGAGGGGTTGCATACATTTTGTAGGTAACACATTTGACGGGGGCTTGAATAAATGGTGGGCTGCTTATATATTGTTTTTTTTCGTAAGCACCCCCCCCCCCCCCGAATCACTACTCCAAGACGGGTGGGTAATTCAATATTTATTCATCTAATGCCAAGTACATTTCTGTTTGTTTATCATGTCCAATTGCAAAGACTGTAGAAAGAAAAAAAAACTAATATTAATGCTATTCAATAGCCTTGTTTATATCTATACTATCATGTGCGAACATTAGAAATACGTATAACGTAACCCAACATTCCTTCTATAAAAGGTAATATGTCAACTGTATACAATTTAAAATTAATATTATACTACAATAAATCGTTATGTAGCGATTACATTATGAGCACAAAATTATTCGATGAGTGACATTTCCATTTGTAGAAGTTTTTCTCCCGATCATCTTTTGCATGCCCAAATGCACCACGATGCAAATAACTCTCATAATTTGCTTACTGTCCTTCATGGTTCGCTTCTTTTAATTGTTCAGAACACCTATTGAAGCTCCATCTCATCAGGCAATATCAATTTCAAAATGCCACGTGATATTATTTCTGCCATGCAGAGACCCAACATCAATTTGCTCTTGAAAAGGGTGGCAAAAATAATCAATTGTCATGTTAATGTAATTTCATCAGTGCAATATACTCCATGTTACGTCTTTTACAAAATGCTTTTTGATGGGCTTATCATGTTGATTATTGGAATGACTGGGATAATTCGCAAGGCAACGGGAAAGAAAAGTGCATGCAAAATATCAGTTTTTAGGTTAGTGGTCCAGTCTGTGAGAACATTTTGACTAGTACCAAGATAAGGATCTTCAGTGGTGTATCATTCTTTTTTTCTTTCCTTCATATTTGATTACAACGATCACTTTACCTGCCCGGATTATAGTATAGTATTAATGACTGCTTTGAGAGAATTAGTTGTTTTTATACGCTCAAGGGCTATTGCCCTCGGCACGCCTCGGGCAATAGCACAATTGTAACCTTCCCGGAATAGTTAAAGTTTATGAATGCAATTTCGACCAATCAGATGGCTGGATTTCTTAAGTGAGGTATATAATCAAGACTATACGCATCTATACAATAAAGGAAATTTAACTTTAAAACATTTATGTTGGTTAATTGGGAAAATATAATATTTCTGATGGATTAGAGCGGTTTGGAGAAATTTAGACAAAAACCATGCAAGATCTTTAAAATCATATTACCCTAAGACAAATCCAAAATATTATGCAATTAAATTCAGAAGTGCATGTACATTCTCTTGACTGTAATGCTTGAAAGTAAATTGAACATGTTTTCTGCGGTTAATAAGCTATTATAAACCCAAAAATTAATTTTCATATGAGTCGTACATGAAAGTAGCTAGAATATAAAGTACTCAAACAATGTCAACAATATCAGCTTGCAATATCAACAGTTCAATTAGTCAGGCTATAGGGATTGAGGCCAATGTTCAGAAGAACCGATGCACCCCCCCCCCTCGAATAATGTGAGAGCTATTCAATCAATAGAGTCCGTATCGATTAACCGTGACACAAATGAAAAAGAAATTGTATTCTACCTCAAGGAACCCTTGAACCTAATTGTACTCAATATAATATATATAATCATGATGAAAACACAAATACATCAACCTTGGCCATTACTCTCTTTCTATGTCATTTTCCTGGCAGTTGTGCGAATTGTGACATCACTCCATTGTTCTACCAGACCCTTCCTTTTCTTAACCTTATCGATCAGATCGATAGCCATAGTGATCAATGGGAACATATATTATTGTCGTCTGCGTCTTTTGAGCGTCACTTTCCTAGTATACTGACTTTTGTTTATCGTTGTATGGAGCGAGAAAACAATTCTTGTTTAATATCCAACATATAGAAATGGAATAAGAATTGTGCGCTTTCAAAATTGCCCTCTTTCATTCTGAATTTATCGTCAATTTCTTTGAAAAGGGTAGTTGTGCTTTATATTTCAAATGAGTGGGTCGAATTATTTCAAGAATGGGAAGGGGAAGGGGACGAAGAGGGGTGTATAGGACGGGGAGGTGAGGGGACAACACATACTTATTGGAAATGCAATATGAAATAGATTATTATCCCGTAATTATGAAGGAGGAGAAGGGGCAACTTCCCCAAAGTTCCCGGAGTCAGCGGCCCGTGCTGAAAGTGAAAGGTATAATGTTTTTACTCCATTATCTTTCTCTCCAACGGCACGATATCATGAAGATTGTCTGTTTGAAATGTGTTTTTGCTATAGCATCATCCTAATGTACAGTGTATGGCGTATAGTGAATGTAGCCATTGAGAGAGGGGGTATCGGTTTTAACAGGTCTATTACACTATTACAGGTGGAGAAAAAACGAGGAGATGAGACGTACACGTAGACAGAAACATGACAAAGAATGGTATATACAGAACGTAATATTATCTTGCATCCCGACTCATTCAAACGATGTTTAAAGACAGTGAAGTGAATTCGAAATTCTGACAGAAAACCGAACTAGAATTTCTGTATGGTATCATACACGGTATCAATATCTGCTAACACACTTTGAAAGCCCTTTAATGGCTTCCTGTATCACGGCGAGGTGTTAATTATTCATACTCACAATAATTGGAAAATCAAACTCCTCCAGGCGCAGACACCATAGTTTCTTTATTTGTTCATACAATTTGACTTGACAAACAACCGACTTTATTTATTCGAAAGCCCCCTTTTGTGCCTAACGTTTTCTGACTTTACACGTTCTTTCAAGAGATGCAATTCGACGCTGAAAGAAAGGGTTTCTACAATCGTTATTGATGTCTTTGTGATAACCGTGATCGATAATCCTTGATCATTTGTTAAAGTCTTGCTAATAGATATATCTCTATTCCATTTTCAAAAAGAGCAAGAGCATGCAGGATTGCATTATATACACGAACGAGACTCAGGATAAACAGTCAGTTGTCGATGTGCTTCTTTCTTCTAAACAAACCGAATAGTTTTACATGCATTTATAATCCAATAGCTAAAATTTACCATGCAATTTGCATTTATTTGCATTAAATTTTTTTATTTTTATTGCTTTTCAATGGCTCTTGCAGAGGTGTATAATGAGGTAGGTTTATGGGGTAGAATAAAAAGAAAAAAGGTAGAAAGGGAAGGGAGAGGGGGGAATTTACCTACATGTACATTAGTAAGACCCCTTCCTCCCCACAGACTACGCACAATACATGTTATGCATCCGTCATTTAGTCACAAACAAATTGTGGCTTTTTTATCAAATATTTATTCAGAGTGTAGCAAAATATAATTTTATTATTCATTTATTCATAATATCTGTTAATTTTGTCAAATCAAATGAACATACCAGATCATATGTTTATTCAATTTCGTTTGAGAGGTTAACTTTAAACAAACACTCTAGATCTTATAATTCGATAACGCTCGTGCAAATATTGAAAAAGTTCGTTCATTGGTTTATTTCCACTTGACTCCCACCCAAAGGTCCAATTAGACTTCACCTCTCTGATAATTTTTATGACTAATGACCTTTCGAGGGGTACTTCAGACATAATTCCAAACGAAAAGCAAACAAGATGTTCATAAGTCCGGCAAAGTTATTAAGATATTTATGGGGCGACGAAAAAGATTGTCGAAAGCGGATGCTGATTTTCTTTGAACAATCGGGTTACGTTAGAGTAGAACGTGTTATTAGTTTCGTCGTATCCACAACAACGGCTTCTTATGTCGATTTAATATTATTTTACATGTACATTGTATATTAAGGGAAAGAAGAAATCAAGTTTTCATCGCCAAGACCTTCGTCCATCTATCGTGTTGATGTGGTGACTGGTGAGCCTTTTATCAAATTTGGATATTGGGGAGTTTTTTAACAGGATTATGCCCAATACTGATCGTTCGCAGTCATCGCAGACTATCGATAAGTTATAGTGATTGCAGTTGTGATTTGGACCCTTATCTCTGGTACATACATGTTATTACTGTATGTATTCGTATTGATTGTGTTATTGTTGTATTTGTATAGCCTAATCTTCTGGTATGTAAGTAAATCTATTTTAAGTAGAAGAAACCAAAGTAATATACGTTCTGATAACGGTCATGCTAGTATACAGTAATTGTTAAGAGAACCTTACATACTTTGTTCGTCTCATGGACAGAAACGTCAATTCAATCCTCAAGATGGGGAATAATTAAGACCTTGGAGTATCCAAGAAGTTAATACACATGCAGGGGGGGTGCGGGCAAGGGTTGTTGGGGCGGAATATATCAGGGAAAGGAGCTCCGCCTATTATATACCTTCGTTGATCAGGAGAATACAGCCCTGTTCATTTTTTTTTGTTATGAGGGGGGGGGGGGTCGTTCTAGGCACATGTTAGCCTACTAGCTAGGCTTCATGCATGCCTATGCTGTATAATTATGCACCATAACAAACAGCTCCAAAACCAAAGGACGGTATACAATCCATGAAGGAAAAACATTTCCCAAACATCTTGTGACTTTGCGGGTGGTTTTTATGATCCATTGCCCTTCTCCGTGTGTTTGCTTATGCAAACAATGCTATTACAAATAGTTGTAGTTGCTCTTTTATGGCGGATGTCATGACGACGTTTGTACTTGGTGCAATGAAGTGTGTCGTGAAATGATGAATGAATTATTTTTGGCAGGAATTCTAAAGCGTTCACAGTTGATAATATATTAATCACTCGCAAGAGAATAATACTATGATTATATGTGTATTATGTACGACGTGATGTAGCCTATCGTCTACTGGAATTATAACCGAGTCTATTTTAAACTACACATTTAATTCTTTCAATAGTTTAGTGGGTTTTATAACAAAACACATCAAATTGGTATCAAATTAATGTGGGAGCCTCAATTTAATTCAAATGAATTAATTTGTATTAATAATGGCTGCAACCATGTCAACCTTCATACTCCTCGACAACCAGAAAGACGAGAGAGACAGATATAGAGAAATGGGGGGGGGGGCATAGGTAGATAGAGAGGGGAAGAGAGAGAGACAGAGACAGAGAGAGACAGAGACAGACAGAAAGAGACCGAGGCAGCGACATACAAACATAATCAATATTGGCATGGAAAGTATAATGCAATATTGCATTTCTGAAATGCTGCATACATAATGCTCGTCAGGTTCATAAACTGAACATTTTAAATGAAAACGTCTATAATGTAGATACAAAAATTATTTATATAGACTCCCATAATACCGTCCCCACATTGTATGATAATAATAACCACAGTCGAAATTGTCATTCATGATCATACCGTCTAGACGGAGGACAATGTTTATGGGTTCACGGGAGAGATAATTGGATACCAATTGACAAGATGAATGACACATGCCACTAATAATGAAATGTTTTTTGATACATGACTTAATCGTTCAGAAAATTGAATTCGTTTGCTAGCCAAAATGGAATAATGCTCTCATCTAGGCATTTCAGTAATATCCGTATGAGTTCTATATCGACTTGCAATTAATTATCATGCAAACAGCTGCGCTGAATTATATTGGTTTATCTGTAACTAATGGAAACTGATTGAAGTGAAATTCGTATAATGGAATCGATTGTGAAAGATAATCATTGTTTGACAGTACAATGATATTCTGAACATTTCATATCCAAGGTAATGGTCGGATTGATTTACTAAATGGGAATTTTTTATGAGAGAGCATGGTTGATTATAAAATATGGTTGAAATGGAAAATGAAAACGAAATACGAAACAACAATTGTGTGTTGATAAAACTAGAACTCTTGCCTAAATAATGTGATACTGACTGTCTTACAGCTTACAATGCTATATACATGTAGTCATCTTTTAAAAGTTTTTCTTTCGTGTGTGTGTTTTTTAAAAGAGGTACGGCTAAATGTTTTTCTTTTCTTTTCAATCACTAAGTCCAAGCATCCGAATTGATATAACTTTATTCGAAAGATGTAATGGTATAATTTTCCGAGGGGGTGAGGGAGGGGTGGCCCGACGTCTAATGCCCAGTTATCAACTTTCCATGCAGGAAATTTGACACTTTATGATAGTGACAGTCACTGTTGGTGCACTGTATTTCGATTACAACCATTTGATGTTATTTTTTCTATCAAGTATTCTTTTCTCATTATGACATAAAAAATCTCAAAGAGTCCACCTCTCCCGAATAAAGGGTGGCAGTTGCCCAAATATTTTTGTGCTTTTTAAACATGATCGGCGCGGTTTCTTATGCCATTCTTAAATGATGTATCCCATATTTCTATAATTTCCTGTACACAGCATGAACAAGCCCTTCTAAACGGCGACCACCACCACAACGGTGACGACGTCGACGGTCATCACAACGTCAATGACGAGCGGCCCGTAACGGTGGGTGAGCAGGTCAGGCAGGAAAGCGACTCGGCTGGCGGAGCCCCGGTCCTTGCCACCGCCCATCTGACCATGGACCAGTCGAAGGACTTCGGCGGGGGCGGCGACGAGTCGGGGGTCGGGTCCGTCACGGACAGCTCCTCCGTGGCCAGCAAGAGGAATAAGATGGGCAAAGATGATGATTCAGACCACAGCGACAGCGGATGGGATACAGATTTAGAAATTGATGGTAAGTGTAAGGATATACCAATATTCCTTCGAAGTTTTATTCAAAAATCGCTTTTCTAAATGTGCCTGATATAGCAAAAACAAGTAAATGCAAAGCAGATTAACACACAGTGTACGTACATTAATAATTTTTAATTTATATATAGGCATTAGTTTTTCTAGTTATTTAGGCGGCGGGGTTCAGATAGGCATGAACATGTATTTTAACATTAGGGAAATGCAGCGGAGCGAATCTAAGGGGGCGAAAGTGCAATTCCATTTTACTCGCTTTCTACCCCCCCCCCCCCCCCCCGTGATATGTACTTTAATTCAAGCATGCAACAAATGAATTCACCATAATTAGTTCCTCATTCAGGGCTTCTGGAAAAATCATCAATGTAATTGGAATACATTAATACCAAGTTCGCATAATGCATAATTCTCATTAATGGCAGATTTTACAACACGAGGTGAATTAAATATTCACAGAAATATTTCCTTGACAACCCAATCCAAACCTTTAAGATTATTTCATCCCGTTGATAATTATGTTATTTTACAACCTGTACTGCCGCAGGAGGCCATGAACATTTGGCGCACCATTCCTTTAATCATTTTGGAGAATTTGCATTATATCCTTCAACCGCATAATACAAACAATAGCATTTTTTTTTCTTCATCCGGATTTTGATGTACAAACGGAGATTCTTATCCAGTCAATTAGCTCTGAGCAAATAATACGTGGAGGGCAAACCACCATAGTAACCAAGGTTTAATTGTGTCAAGTGTGTAGCTGTATTAATATACCCAAGAGCAATTAAAGCAATGTGATTAAGGGAAGTTTGACTCTGCGCGGTATACAATTACGATTCTGAAAGGGATATTGCAATCAATAATTATTATTTACAGTCTGACATCCTTGTAACTATATCATCCGGTCAATCAATATGACTATTCTGTCGGACACACAAGTCAGGTCAATTTGAAAGCTGAATCAATATTGGGTTTACTATAATATTGTCTCCGACTGCGTAACTGATTCAATATTGACTTGCAACAATGTGTTGGCATTTTGAATTTGAAATTGCAACATACACGTACATGAATGTATCAAACTTGTTGGATGACGATAAAAGTAAAACGACATCATTCCCATCTGCAAAATATACTCTTAGGGTTAGCGCATTGGCCGATAAGGTATTTTTTTTCTTCCAACACTGAATTCGGGCTATCATCATGATGTGGGTCCTCTTGAATAAAAGTCAATTTGCGATTGGTCGCAATTCAGATCAAACGCAAATATCATACGCAACTTGCAATCAAACGCAACTGTGCAATGATAAGAGAGTTGCGATTGAAATCAAATGCAACTTTGCGTTTGGTCATAATTATATCTATCATAAAGTTGCGTTTGAAATCAAACGCGACTCTCTGTGTAATGGAATTGATTTTTAGGACTTGCGTTTGATTTTCAGAGTTGCGTGTAAATGCAACTCTTTATGTAAGAGAGTCCATGCAGGTGCGGCATTATGGGCAGGGGGCTAGCACTCTTACCATTTGCCAAACTTGCTGCAATTAATTGACTTATATATGGACATAATGATAAACTGCTTGTGAGAAAGACTTTCACAAAAACAACCTAAGGCAGTTCATTTTTATTCCCATAGTTTCGTTCAATCGCCGATAGCGCAATGGAAGACGATCCATGGTCCCTTTGCACAAAACTTACCATTGATGGTAACTTTGTCATAAATGGTAATTATCATGGAAACCTTGATTTTAATTGGCTGTTGAGCCCCATTACCATGGTAGTTGCCATTGATGGCATAGTTACCATCAATGGTAAGTTTTATGCAACACGGCCCTGGGCTCTGTTTAAACTGTTCAAACTTTATATCAATAACAAGTTACAATAATTGTTATAAGCTATAGAAATCGTGGCATTTGATTGACCGAGATCAAGTTTGTCATAGAAATTTAGCTTTTTTTTAAAATTGATAAAAACTTTTATGAAACAGGGCCCTGGTTCTAACGGTACCTTTCTAAAAAATTATCTTCCTTCAGAAAAAGACAAGATAGAGGAGTATGACCCGACGGGTCGGAAGACCTACAAGCAGGCATGCCTGGACATCGGTGTCGTACCAGCTTCGCATTTCTTACGTCACATGACGACGAGCAGGGTGTCTATGAAGCACCATGGGCTTGGTCCACACGGCGCAAAGGCCATCGCAGTAGCCCTTGTGGTAAGTTTTGAAATTTAGCTCCCTCCCTCATCTCATCACCAAAATACATTGCAATGAATATTAACTGCATTTTAAATGCAATCTTTATCGTTTAAAATGTTTAAAGCTAATTGTATTTGTGTAGATTTGCATGGACAAATATTGTTTGAAAGTTAAAAAATCGCGTAAAAACACATTAAAACGTTAAGAAAAATAATGTATGATGAGTTTAATTTTAATTGTATATGATTATAATTGTTGCATCATTCTCTTGATTCTTGTTGAATGTGTTCGTTGTTTTTATTTTTATTTGTTGTTTTTTGTCTTGTGTTGTATATCTTAAACGTCATATGTAATAAATGGATTGAAAACTGATTATGAAAACGAAGTGAACAATCATTCCTGAAGCGATTTTGCTACTTCTATTTACGATTATAATTATGTTGGCGTGTTTGAGTATTATTTGATCGAGGATATCACATTCACTGCTGTAACAATGGGCATTGTGCAAAATAGCCAGACATCCTTCATGATAGCTTTCATCAATTGATTACAATCGTATAATGTTTAATTTCAGGCTAACACGACAGTATTAACCTTGGACTTGGAGGATAATTGGGTAGAGGGAGATGGTGGCGTGTACATTGCCGATATGCTCAAAGAAAATTGCTACATAAATGACCTTGTGAGTATACTGTTTGTCTGTATGTCCCTCTTTGTATGTCTTTCTCTCTCTCTCTCTCTCTCACTTGCTCCCCCTTTCTCCCCGCCTTCTCCAACTAATTTGTTTCTCTATTTCGCTTTTTTCCGTATTATTATTCCAGTTTCTGTCTTTTTCATAATTTCCGCCTTGACTTATATTAATTATCTCTCTCTCTCTCTCTCTCTCACAAATTATGCATATCGCTTTGTATCTCTGTCTGCGGTTCTGTGTTTTGTCTATAGTTTATCTCTCTTATATGTTTCTCCTTTTATCTCATTATTCTTTTTACCTCCCTTTTCCACTATTTCTGCCTACTGTTTTAATTTCACTCACTCCCTTTCTCTTGCACATTATTTTCATCCATTCCTCTCACTCTTCATCTCTCTGCAATTTTACTCTTACAATTCTTTCCTGCCTACCTTAATCTTCTCCGTTATGAATTGATATGCTTCTGCTTGTTTCAATGCTCTCTATAGCCATTTAATCTCTCCTCATTTCCTCTCTAATTTGCCTTTCCATTGAGGCCTATACCATTAGCTCACTCGTCGATTTATATTTCATGGTAAAAATTAATTACGAGTATGATCATCCATGAAAACGCCGCTGGGTTATCATTCAGTATCAGCTCGTCTCGTTTCATGAATTTCAGAGTCGGGAAGTATGAAGTTTTTGTTGATTTTTGTTAGTAAAAAGATCCAACCCTCCCGTGTGATAATGATCAATGCCATAGCAGGGGGGGGGGGGTCTCCTATTATTCATTAGTTGAACCGGTGCCCCCCGGAAGGCAACAACAACAATCACCAACAAAAAAAAAATTGGACCCACACTGTGCAATACTTATATTATTGATATTATGAACGTGATATACAATGTACTCTGTTAATGTAAAGGAGCTAATTTCCGCTCGTCGAGGAGTGTGATTAGGGACCACTCCTTTTGGTGTGAAATTTGGACGGAATTCACCCTCAAAAGATGTAAAGTTAGCTCTTAAAAGACGATAAATTCAGTCTTTTAGAAAAAAAAATCGGTCTTTTTGTAGTGAAATTTACATCTTTTGAGGGTGAATTCCGTCCAAATTTCACTCCAAAAGGAGTGGTCCCTAATCACACTCCTCGACGAGCGGAAATTAGCTCCTTTACATTAACAGAGTAAATGGTCATCACGAATGGGGTATAAGTTTTTCATTCATCCCCACGCAAATCTCATAACATGAAAAGCTCATCCAAACAAAAAAAAAATATTTTGTAGCTGTCGTACACATGTAAATACATTTTCTCTATATTGTTGGCCTTCAATGCACTGTCGTTATCATACTGTATTTTCTCTTTTTATTCCGTTTCCCAGAATCTTGCCGAGAATAAAATAGGATCAAGAGGAGCCAAAGCGATGGGAGAGATGTTGCTAGACAACACAAACCTGAGACGGGTTAACCTATCTGGTGAGATACCGACCGTTAACACTGCAATCGTTCCTATTGGAAAGAGCACAATAACAGTGTCCCACAGTGTGAAAATAGTGAATATGAATTGTGTTTACATTCTCGGTAATGTGAACTTGTTTCATGTCCATTACACTGTGGTGAGTACACACTCATTTTCTGTGGCCACAATATGTCACATATTGGTATGTAGCCTAGTGTGAAAACTGAGTGTGAACACAGTATGTCACACTATGAAGGTGATCAAACTAAAGTTAGTGATCATATGTAGATGTGAACAAAGTGTATTACATAATGCATTCTAAATCATTATGATCCCAGTGTGATTCATACAGCTCTGATCTTGAACCCATTGCTGACAGTAATGTTATATTCTGTGGCACACTGTGTTGCATAATATGAAAACGGTGTGAATTAAAATTCACACAGTAGACTATGACAAAGTTACAGATGTAATTAATAGACTTAATGATCCACACACAGTGTGGTTCTGTGTTCTCATGTACATGTACATGTAGATGCCAACACGGTATTTGATCACACTGTGATCACACTGTGGCGCACTGTGGTGCATAGGTTGAACGTGGTGTGAATACAGTGGATGATTTTCAAAATTGATTCTATGATCATTATTTAATGCATACACACTGTGTGAGTCTTCATGGTTACAGTGTGTCCTACTGTGGTACATTGTGTAAAAAGAAGCCACCCATTATGTTTACTGTCAGCAATGTGCTCAAGATTAATTAGAGATGTGATTATTCTGTGATGGTTGTATACACATCATCACTTCACAGTGCCCTATGTCTCACATCATTGCATTATGTGAACACAGTGCGTGCATACAACTGTAGCATCAACCTTATGAATGCATGTAAAAAAAAATCAAATCTGCGAATTACTATGGTACAAAGTTTAACACTGTGGTGAATAGTGTGGAAAAGGTCATTTTCTCAATATCAACACTTATGGGGGCGAAGCTGTTTTCTTCCAGTAGGAATTGGCCCTTCATTTGATGGCAGGTTCCAGCCAAAACTCTTCCTGAAAATGTTTGACCAAGTAGTGATATTACAATGTCTTGATATTTTTTAACCCACCTATACTATATAAGTGAGAAATGTTCAAATGTGACTGGGCCCAGGTTTGATAATCTCAATTTTCCATTTTCTGCCAGTTGACTCTTTGGCAAATTTGGTCCAACATCCCCAACCCCACCCATTTATGCTTTCGTGACTCCCGGCCCTATGAGCTACGTGTCGCATAATGTTGAATGTGTAAGCATTTCACGTCTTTTGCCTCTCCAACATGATGCATTATTTATGACACGACACGGGTGTTTGAACTGTGATGAAGTGAACACTCCATTAAATGATAAAGTGCATTTCAAATGCCGTCAGTATGGTCACAAAAAGGTGTTCATGCATCCAACGACAGAATGCAGCGATATAGTGTGGCTTTCACCTACGAAATGAAATGGCTCATGATATAATAATTCATCATTTTTGATAGTTTGATTAGATTAAGTGCATCTCATTGTTAGATTCTTTTCATGGCTTTTGAATGGATGACAGGCCATCATATTAAATGTCACCTCTTGATCATTTTTCTGTCTATGTTTTTTTGAAGGATTTTTATGAAAGGTTATATGGATAGCAATTAACCTAATTCGCAATTTTCCAGTGTCTTTTTGATTAGACCCATACTTCTTTTCAATGACAATACCGGTATGCTGAAAAATATTAATTCAGCTGTGATGTAATTGAGGTAAAAACGTAACTTTTCTTGCAGAGAAATATATCAGTATCAACAGACTAATTGAAGGCTGATCACGTTGACTGCATTGTTCAGTTTTATGGATTAAAATAAGGACGGTTTTTGTGTTTATTAGCCATGTTTATTGAATAATGATAAAAAATGAACGATTCTGTCACGTTTTTGCCACTATTTCTCAATTTTGTTTGTTTAAATGTCTCATCATTTCATGCTTTTTGATGATGATCTAGTTTGGTTTCAGTACATCTATCACCACATCCGGGTAAATGTATTTGATCAGCGCGTCATGTTTGATACAAGATATACTTTTATCTATGCATCATTATCTGATGTTTTTATATGCATCAGTATATTCCACCCGATGGCAAACTTATTAATTTACATTTCAACTTTGTTTATCCTTTTCTCCATTGCAGGTAACGAATTTAAAGACAAAGATGCAAATGAATTCACAGAATCATTTAAGGTGAGTTATAGAAAAAAATGGTAAACAAAATTCTTATTTGAAAGTTCAGATAATACCTGCATGGTTGTTGAATTGCTCTTGGATTATTATTGTTAAATATCATGATTCTTGTTCGTCGCATCTCAAGATTGACTAAGGCCCTGTTGTATATCGAAGAGTTGTGATTCATCCAAATCGATTGAAACTCTCTGTCTTCAATCACAATAAAAAATGACCTATATGCCGTAACTTGACACTTATCCCAATGATGAGTATTTTAATTTCTTTCTTTATTGGATCTCTTGATGGTCGTATGCCCAAAATTATACAATTTTCACACAACTGCGCCAGGAGTGTCATTTTTGACAGACATGGCGCATCATAAATGTTCACTATTATATTATTATTCACTATGATATTATTATTATTATTATAAATCCTCCTGTTCTTGATTTTGTTTTTTACAGTCTAACTACAGAATAAAAGAGCTCATCCTGAGTCACAATGAGTTTGGAGAGGTGGGAGGAGAGATCTTAGGGCATGGCATAGGTAAGTCTTGTCTCTGTTTTAAAAATCAACTATCAGTATACCCTTGAAAACAATTTTCTGAATGAAAAGGAACAAAATGAAATTTTTAGTTTTTTATAAACATACCATAGCTTCCGCAATAGAAAGTTCACCAAAAAGCTTCATTATCGTACTGACTACAATTGAAGAAACTAGTTAAAAAGATTATTATTATTGTATTTTCTTTATATCCTCGAATGTATATATTGTTTGTGTTGCTTGTATTATATGTATATCACTCGCCAGTGGAGGACGAATTGCTGATTTTTTTGTGGTTAAAATCAGACAATAAATTATCTTGAATCTTGAATCTAGAAAGATTACGATTTTGATAGGAAATTTCAAATATATAAAGGCCAGAAATTATCAACAGTGTTTCTTTCCTTTTTTTTTCTGAAATAAAAAATATTAATTACATACCAGTAGTTATTTCCATAAACCAATAGCAAAATGAATCTTTGATATCTCCTTCTTGTCTAGGTGCAACGGAATCAATAGAGCATTTAAATCTCAGCTGGAATCACTTAAGAAGAAAAGGGGCAATAGCCATCTGCAGAGGCTTGGCGGTAAGATAAGAAATGATTAGCGGAGCACTTTGATTTCTTACTTTGATTAACTAAAATGAATTAATGAAACAGTTCCTGCATTAATGTTGTCGCTATCAAACATGAAAGACTTCTATTTGCATTGATTAATAAAAACCAAGACACTGTTAAAGATGCTTGTGGACATTATATATGGTGATGTCTTCAATTTATAGTGACCTTATATTAGATATTGATAGGATGTAGCCATGCCCTTATGATTAGACATAACTAGTAACATTTGGATGTGATATTCAAACCAACAAAGTAAATGATTAGATCTGACAAGAACCTTTACCTAACCGTATTGTGGTGACACGATTTTGCCATGGAAATTATACTGCACCCCATGACTATCAAAAGCTTTAGCCCAGGTTAAAGTGATTTGGTTATTCATTTCAATAGGCATGATGGCTCAACTGCTAGGTCCTGTGTTAAAAACCAATATGGTGCAATCATGTCTTTGGCCAGTGATAAATGCTCTATGGAGTGCCTCAGATAGAAGATACAGTTCCCCTGGTTGCTTATCCATATATGGTTCCTTAGGTACAATGAAACCATCGAAATCATTCATTTTCTCTCCATCTTCAGGAAAACTTGAGCATCAAGCGTCTGAACCTCTCCTGGAACGGCTTCGGCAATGAAGGTGCATTGGCTATGGCAGAGGCACTCAAGTTCAACAGCACGCTGCAATGGCTCGACATGAGTAACAACAGGGTCACCAATGAGGGCGCTTTCATGCTGGCCAAGGGTGTAGAAATCAATGACAGCATCAAGGTCTTGAAGGTTAGTTCAGCCATTGAAATCCGTGTTACCATAATATCGTTTAGAACAATACAGTGTATATACAGGGACACCAGTAGGTTTCACCAAAGTTGGAGCCTGGAACCCCCATGTGCTGTACAATATGTAGCATGAAAAGTTGCCGGAAGGGGAAGGTGTCAGGGCCTGAAATGAGACTTTGGCCTCAAAACTGACATCCCTAAATATGGAACTTAAAATGGAATTACTTTGGCCTCAAAGAATCATCTATGGAATTAGTCTCCAAGATCTGCAGAACAAGTTTCCTCAGTAAAGAGATCCCACATTATGTATCAAACTTTGAAACCTATACACAAAAAAAATTTCAATTTGAGAATAGGAATAGAATCAACCATATGTACTCCAAATTCTTCTGGCATTATCATGTAGCATCTTCCAGGATTGAAAGATTATTAGACAGTGTGTACAGCCGAATATAAAGCACTGAAACAAATGAGAACTAATCTTTAAAACAAATCTTGCTAGAAAGTGAATTGCTTCCGATACATGTGAAGCTGTGAGAAGAAGACACAAATACCGGTATTGTTACTTCTTATTAGAACCCAAGTATTATATCATTAACCTTTTCTTTCCATTTTTATTCCCCTCAGCTTGGTCAAAACCCTATCACCGCAGCAGGAGCCATGGCAATACTAATTGCAATCAAGAACAATTCAAACACTGTACTAGAGCTACTAGACCTTGCAGTAAGTACATTGTCTCAATACATATCATGTATGATTTCATATGTCAGTTCTTTGAACTGTAAACAAAATAACAGACATTGGTATTCATCAGATGTAATTTGTTTTGCTTGTTGTCCTATGATGTATTTTCCATTGCATAATATTTAGCTACAGCACACTCCTGTCCCTTTCATTTAGGTATTTTATTTGCAGTTTTTAATTAATATTCAGCATAATTTTGAGAGGAGTCTATGAGAATAGTGTTCATTTCATTTATTGATATAAGAGATTACCTATAAAACCAAAGTTGTTCTTGACATGAAAAGGTTGACTGTTCATGTACTAAACCTATTGAATCCAATGTCGGTATAACACACATTTATTTTCCATGGACTCCAGCACATACGTCATCTCAGATTTGGTACTAAAAATGAGTTCACAGACACCTCCAAACTTGTCTGTACAGGTGTTCTACGTCATCTTGATCAGAATATCTTGCCTTGTTCTACTATGATCTTCAAAAATTATGCTTTCATCCATCTATTCCCCAGGATATCACCGTGAACAAAGACTGCGTGAAGCTGTTGACGGAGCTGAAGGAGGTTCGTCCAGAGTTCCTGGTCGCCTACCAGTCTTCCGTCGGCCAGTTTGAGAAGCCTCCCGAGAAGGAGCCTGACCCAGTGAAAATGCTCAGGGAATTCATCTCGGCCAACAACCTGAGGGTGTGGGACCTCTTCAAGACCTACGACAAGGACAAGAGCTTGACGGTCACCCGGGAGGAATTCAAGAAAGGGCTGGTGGTAAGTCCATCTTTCTTTGATTTGAACTAGTTATGAGAAGTTGGGAAAACTTTGTAAATACTTTGTGATTTCAATAAGTAATCAGGCATTCCACAAATGACATTCATGGAGACATTCATGTTCCACTTTTCCAAAAGACTATGATTTATGAGAAAGAGAGAGCAATTTCTGTTCACGCTTTCCATCTTTGACTGGATGGATTAACTTTCTAACTCATACAATTTGTTCTAACCTATTCTATACATAATTTGAATTTAACAGATTTCAATGCCCCTTCATCAATTTGCAGGATGAATTTAAAAAAAAACATAAAATATTATGTTTTAACCTATACTTTGAATACTCCCCTCCCTACAGAGCTCTGGCCTGCAGATGAAGCCACATCTCTTGAACAGACTGGTAGAAACGTTGGACAAGGATGGAGATGGAGAGATCGATTATGGGTAAGACACCTTCCCCCCATCTTCCCAGGCTGTCCTACGAAGCGTTGCGACTGATCCCCTTTGATCCCAGAGTTATTCAATCAGTTGCAAATTTACCAGTCCTGTCTCTCATGTACAGAGTCGTGATTGGTACCAGTCTCGGCTTAAATTTCATTTGTTGGGATAAATCGCAACTCTTTGAAAGACAGGGGCCCTGGTCTTAAAAATGCCCAAATGCATGTTTTTTTACCCTCAAGGAATTGTTACTACATAATATCTGTTGAGAGCTAAGAGGGCATTATCTCTGTATTTGGTGTGTTAATGCCCTTCTGGCTCTCAACAGACGATATAGGAGTTTAAACGTTAGTACTTTTGTGACACTCCAAACATTAAAGCAATCTGCAACCTCAACCTCAACAACACAAGTCATGCAATTACCAGTACCATTTCTAATGTTTAAAAAAACAACATTTGTTTGGGTTTTGCCTTTCTTGCATTTATCTTTATTTCACCATAATTTAATAAGGGTAGGAATGTGTATCCAAAAAAAAATATTTACAAGTAATGTACATTGAGAGAAAAAAGTAGAATCAGTCACATATATACACAGATTGCAGGATTAATATCAAATCAAAAGGACACATAATGCATAGACTTCCTACGATCATCTTTGTGTGTCTGACAAAGGGGATCCTGCCAGATGCATAATGTTCTAAACCCTATTGTGGTTCTATTAAATTAAATACACGCCTTACAAAAAAATATATAACCCCCCCCCCCCTTCCCCTACAAACAAAAAAATACAAATGAAATCTTTATAAATAACAAAGTGCTAATAACAAATGTTGCTTGCAGTGGACAGACCACCACATGTTACCTTGTTGTGACCAATTTTCTATAGTGAAAATTATGTTAATCTTCCTATTAGAACAAGTTTCTATTAAAACCATTAAATTTTGATATAAAATCAAGATTAAAAACCCCTCGAATATTGCACTTTGATGAGTGACGGAAGAGGGGCTATGGATAACACATTACAGCACACAATAAATATAAACTACACATGTACTACAAACAAATATTTTCACATTTTTTTTTGTTAATACATGAATATCACCACTGATAAAAAATGATTGTGGGATAGTATCCATCTTTTACTACAAAACCAGAAAGTGTCATGACTGAAACTTTTGCAAGTTATCGAGAATGCCCATTTTGCACAGCAAGAAACTTTCGCGAATTGCACACATTTAATGTTGTGTCTGTTGTGATGCAATCATTTCACAACATGAAACCTTCATGAATCTGAACCACTTGCAAAATTTGCACATATTTTCATTCATATGCAAGTTTCTGGTTTTACAGTACGGTATTTTATTTCATTTTATTGGGCATAATCCTACATCACACCCGTCCTTTCATGAGTGTTAGAATTTTCATTGGAAGAAAGTGTCATATTCTTATGTAATCCCAATTTTCAAAGGTTATTCATAGGAATTGGGAGTTTAGTTAAAGAGCATTTCCATAGCCCTGGGGACCACAAAACCAAATATATCCTATCTGTCTAATGAGAATCTTTACTTTAATCGGACGTAGGTCAAGATAGAAGGTAGACTTGGCAGCATGTCAAAAATAACACTTTGATGTATTAATAGTAAAAAATGTTCAAGACATGAGTGCTATACAAGAACCCACTATTATTATTATTGTAATCCTTCAATTTCTTTGTTTTTATCAAAGGGGAATTCAACAAAAGAGAAATTATCAATTCTAGCATGTATTGCAAAGATATCAAAGGAACTTTTTTCTTCCAAAATTGTCTCAGAAATTCAAATTTTCATCTCCAATTATAACATTTTGAGGGTCATCTTCTTTTATATCATCACAAAATAAAAAACCTTAATGTTCCAAAAATGTTCAGCTGCTTATTTATTCTATGTGATGAATTTCTGCTTCAATTTTGCTCTTCTCTCTTCTTCGCAGTGCGATCATTCCTCGAGAGCAGATAAATGAGCTGTTCATGATAGAAGACCCAGTAGCTAGCCATGTGCTCAAAAGATAGGCCATAGAGTTCACAGTACTCGTAGCTCGCAGAACTCTTAGACATAGTATTTGAGGCTCTTGTATAGGCCAGGGGAACCACAAAGCTGCAGAATGTGAATAAGTTCCAAAAGCTGCCGATCCCTTGCTCCCTTTGTGAGAAAATCAAGAGTGACTCTGAAATGACAAATAAAAAAATAATAGTTTAAATATCTATTAAATGGAAAGCAATGTTCCTATTCACAGAATTAATGAGATCTACATTAATTCATTCATCAAGGTTACTTAAATTCCGTTTGCATGTGGAACAATTATATTGACAGAAAGAGTAGATCAGGAATGGAGTTGCTTTCTGTCATCTGATCTTATCCATCAACATAAGATTGAGCTGATGCATAATTTCATTTTCATATTTATAAAATTTATATTGTCTTTTTTTCAGTTAATGTACAATTCCAGTTTCATGTTTGTATTATTTATATTGTCTTTTAATAAATAAAACATTTTTTTCTCTCACATTTGTTTTTTCATCTCATCTTTCTTGCACTTGTCCATTTGTGTGTGTCCTGTCTCATTAATTTTCCATTTGCTCTTTTATGTTATTATCATTTTGGGGTGCTTTGACTTCATCCTTCCTCTGATTCACTCTGTTCATTACTTTCATTTTCATTCAAACATTGTACCTTCTATCATGTAAACCTGTTTTATTTACTGTACGTCTTTACATGTCCACTCAAAACGATCCTGTCGCTACTCTTGGCTATACATTGGTACACATCCTATCCCATATATCTGTCCTCTACCTCACAACACATACACTGGCTACTACAGAGAGCTTAAGATTGGTCACAACGAGATGATACAAGCCGAACGCGATGAGCGCAAGCGACAGATGGAACGGGTGCAGAAGAACAGGAGCAACCCGCTCTACAAACCCGTCGCTGAACAGTTCCAGGACCTGAAACCCAAGCAGGTCCGGGACTCGCTGTCACCGGATCGGCTCCAGAAGCTGCGCTCCACCATCAAACCCGACACAACTCAGTGGACCTCGCGGGGGAGGAAGGCGGATACTGTCAGCGCAGGGATAAGGTCTTTGGATGCCACGGTGAACTTCACCAGTGAACTTGAAGAGAAGTACATGAATGAGGAACAGTGGTTGAGTAAGACCTTGGGGCCGGCATCTAGGACCCCTAGCCCTGGTGGGCTCAGCACGAGAGCCCCTGGTTCCAGGGCCAAGAGTCCTAGGTCCAAAACCCCAATGAAGTCACCAAGGACTAATAACCTGAACACAACATTGTGAGGAAGCCCAGATGAACAAATTTGAAAGGAAACTCTGGTCTCTTGAAAAGCAAGAATAAATCGAATTTCATGATTCTAAGCAATAACGATGATGAAATATGCATGATAAAGTGCCATTGATTGGTTCATATGTTGTATTGGTATATTATGTGTCGTACATCCTTCCAAGACCTTGTGTGCAAAAAAACTTAAGGATTGCCAGGTAACATTCTTGCAAGAAAGTTGCGTTGCAATCAACTGCCAATCAGTTGCAAATTTGCGCATCCTCCAAATTTATTGCAAAATTGTGCGTGATCTGCAATTAATTGCAAGATTTGCGCTAGATATTTGCAGCACAACTCTTTCTTGCAACATGATTTTGTTGCAAATTTGCAATTAAACGCCAGAGTTGCACTTGATTTTGGGAATTGCGTTTAAACGCAACTTTCTTGCAACGCCCCATTAGTCATGGAAGCCTCAGAGATGTTATTGGGCAAATTCAAGCTATTTGTTCCAAATGTTACCAAACATATCTAAGAATGCAGTTTATCTGATGATTGTATTTGGTTAATGTCACTACTAAAGCTTCTATCAATAACAAATGCTAAATTTCTATGACAAATTTGCTCTCAGCCAATCAAATGTCTTGATATCAGTAGCCGCAATTACAGTTATTGGAACTTGTTATTGATAAAACGTTTTATGAAACAGGGCCTTGATGTCAATTTATATTCAGAACCCAAAATTACTTTGTAATGTATGGATAACAAATGGCCAAATAAATGTAACTTGGACTAGCCCTATCAGTGATTTAAGGCCACTATACATGTAGATGTGTCTATTTTAACCCCTTCATGGCAACCATATTTTGGACAACAGTCATAAATGAACTTCCAAAAGTGAAATTTTTATGCAGAATACTTTGTTTCATGAATTAGGCATAAAATATCTGTCATGGACATAAATTGCACTTTTTTGTCCAAACACATTGTTCAACTTAGTTAATTATGTCATCAAAGGGTTTCAAATAAGAATTCAATTCCTTTGTGTCTGCCTTGAAATTGACCTCTCTTATTTTGAGCAAGTCCAAGGTGTTTTGTCCACTAACCAATTTCACTTGTTGAAGTGTGAATCACAGTGAAAGAAATTTGACTACAGAAAAGGCCTCATTACAAATACACCCCCCTCTCACTCTCTCTGTCTTTTCCCAGCAACATTCCCTATGTTTTTTGATAGAGTATTATTGTGCCTCATCTGATACCTCATTTCGGAATCAATTCTCAGGACATTCAGCTACTCCCTCCCTAACCTTACCAATACAAGACATGCAGGTATTATGCCCCCCCCCCCTCCCCTCCTAACATGTGACTGGTATTAAAATAAAAGCATTGTATATTACCCGACGTATATGAACTCAATAGATAGGGTTAGCCCATTTTCAATTGAATATCAATTTGCAACTGAAAATAAGAATACCAACTCAAGGTAGATTCTAGTTTATTTAGGAACTTGTTTAGATATCATGAAACTAGATATTTTGTATAATAGAATATATAATCATTATGAAGATACTTGTTCAATTTTATGTGACAACTCTGTCATCTTGTATCACAAGTGCCTTCAGTGTGTAATCTACATATATTTATATTTCTTACAAGATATTTATTATATCATGACAATCAGTAGATTGTAGATTGAATGTACATAATTTCAATGATACTTTATAATTGAATGTATATCACTAAAACTATTTGTATATTTTTGTTTTTCATTTATATAACATGAATTATGTCCGACGAATATATTCTATGACATGTGCTCGTATGAAGAAGAAAAATTCCTTAACACTTCATATAAAACTATGCAAACTTGATCTCAGTGGTCTGTTGTCATTATTCTGTGTCACTTGTTTGGGTAGAGTTTTTCATTACATTCATACCTAGAACGGTGCAGTGGTAACAAAAAACTATTGTCAGGTGCCCTTTTTATTAAACATTAAGTGTTTAATAATCTGACACTAATCTGAACATCATGGGTTATGGCGCCATAAACAAAAACTGCTGAGTAAACAAAGTGGCTCAATTGAACTGAAGATTATTCACATTTCTGTCTCTTATTCAAACATAGAGTTGTTGTGGTCAAGCACTAATGTCCTTTGGCAAGACATTGATCTACATTTGCCACTCTCAACGCGGGTGATGTAAATGGGTACCTGGCAGGACTAAATTCCTTGAAATGCCGAGGTAATCATTTCCAAATTTGTTATGGCGTCTTGAGCGTCCCCTTGGGGTGGATATGTGCGCATTATAAATGTTATTATTATAATAATTACTATTATTATAAAGGAGTAAGGATTTTAGGGCCTTTGTTGATTTACCTGCAGCTACTCAGGATATTGCTATTTCTTGCACAACTAAGAGACTGAAAATCAGACAGAGACTTAATAACCAGTTTACATTTGCCACATTTTTGTTTCCATTGACCACTCTTGAAACATGTACTAAGGGAACTTGTAAATAAAGACCACCTGCCCATAAAGACCACTTTACTTGTCTACCTTGAGTGGTCATTGTACAGGATTCACTGTATGTGGAAAGTTCGCTTTAATACTTACCATGATCAGTCCATAGTGAAGAGTCTGGAAGCAATGTCATCTATCAGCCAGTTGACACCGTAGAGTAGATTTTCACCCGTTACTGCGCTGCATCCCAGAATCAACCAATGATGGGTCTTGATGTTATCCAGTTCTAATGCCTTGAGATGAATGCAACAGAATATGAATATGAAATCAAAGTCATGGTATGCTAAACAACAGGGAAAAAAACAAAACATTCTCAAGCATAATGTATTCAAGACCTTTGACACCTAAAACTATTCCATTTTTCATCTGATTATTCTTTTTTCAATTTGATTCAATTCATAAATTTATTTTAAAAAATAAATCAAAAGGTAAAGTCATACAAATATTAACAGAGACAGAGGAAGGGGAAGCTATAAAAAAACAAATAAGCAGTGAGCTTTGAAAGGTGTATCTCCCATAAAAAGGAATATGTGACAAACAAAAATAAAGTTGATCAAAGGGATACTACAAGATTAAAAAGTGTTCATCCTGACCTCACCCATACATGCACATTTGATTAGGTTCTTGGTAAGGATCCCTAGGCAAATGCCAATTTAAATCTTACCTCTCTGATTTCATCGGCAGACAGAGCACCAGGCAAATCCTGCTTGTTAGCAAAGACTATCAATGTAGCACCATTAAGCCTCTGCAAGTAAAAGAAATGTAACCATCATAATTTATCATGTACCCAAGTTTATATAAAATGTATTATATGTTTATAATGAGAGACAACTGGACAGGTAAAAAAGACTCATAAGTAATAACTTCAATAGTTTGCATGCTTGGAGATACCACTGAAAGTAGCCTGTATTTTAGAGCAATCAAACATGGAGTTGAAATCTTATAAGGCCCATTCAGGCACTGCTTCAAACAGACACACAGAATTTAAATTACATAAGATAAGTGTATTGCACTTCATTCTTGTGAATCGTATAACACATAAATCAGAGAGTCATTTAAAATAGTGGCCATCGTTGTGAGCAGCTAAGTCCCCCCCCCCCCCCCAAAAAAAAGCCTCTTGGCATTTATCTATAGATGGCAAAGTTTTGCCACCCCTTATTAGAGGTTGTTTATTATATTGTCTTTGTACATGTTTTGTTATGGTCGCATACCTCCTCTAAAAGCAGAGAATGCAGCTCCTGTTTGCAGTCCATCAATCTTCTTCTATCAGCACTATCCACCACCCAGATCAATCCATCTGTACTCTCAAAGTAGTTCCTCCAGTAAGAACGGAGCGACTTCTGACCACCTACATCCCATATGTTCAGTTTAAACCTGTGGGTATAGAGAAGTTTACAACAGTCGTAAGTGGAGTGTCATGGCTACACATAAAGCAATTACATGTATCTACCGGTACTATATTTGAACAAGGCATCTTACAAATAAATCAATCACTTATTGATCATGACTTGTATCAGGAATGTGTTTAATTTATAATTAGACTCGGTAGATTATCCCAAGGTGACTTAATGCAGGAAATTTGTTACATTTCTAATAAGAAGAAAAAAATAAAGGAAACATGTAAATTCCTAAATATTTCTATAAAAACCAAAGTGGCTACATCTTGTATAATGCTAAGTTACCGGTACACTCAATCTTTTCAATGTACATGTAGATCAACATAAAATTATATGACCCTTTTTTACATGTAGAATAATAACAGAATCATCAGAATTTATGTACTCATATCAGATTATCATCTGCAAAACATAAATCTATCATTTCAATGACCTTTCGACACTTGACTGATATTAATTTAAGAAAAAGAATGTTAAAAACAAAAATGAATAAAGTTACCCATTTACATTTAAAATTAGCATTTTTTACTTTCAGGTACTGGATCATTGTTATCATTATTGATAATTGAAATGTTATTTAAAAAACCAATAGAAGGGATACAGTTCTACTAATTTACCCTTTATGCTCTAATGTCTTGATGTTGAAGCCAAGCGTTGGAGATATTGTGTTGATATCTTCTCCATTGAATTTCTTCAATATAGTGGTCTTCCCTGCATTATCCAGCCCTCTGAATAGAATTTGGTTAAGGCAAAAATGATAGAATACTACAAACTTACAAAGAGGGCACAAATATTCAACTTGCCCTAGAAAATTGTCTTGTAAAACAATCCTATAAATTCCTATAAATAAGAAATCAAGCAATATCAGACTTAAAAAAACAAAAACAAGTAAGAGTGATGGACAAAACAATCTATGCAAATTGTGTGAAGGGCACAACTTGTTCTTCTTCTTCTTCTCTGCTTTGTTTCAGTTTTAATTCAAACCTTATGCACACCGCAAACTGTGATCTGACTACGATCCACTTTATAAAGTATTTGCAATAGCATTTATGAGCATCAAACTTTACCGTAATGAGGATCTGAGACATTACGGTATATTTATAACTTCACACAAGCGCGCGCCCGCTGCAACCCACAATCGGTATGCACTTGTATTGTGTGGTGGTTTGCCATGAAACCTGTGAAAAAGTGTATACTAATAATAATATCAACGTTTTTCAGAAAAATACTCCAAAAATAACAAGAAAATTGACACGAAACAGGTAATAAACATAACAACTTTTAACTCATGATCTTTATTTGGACGACATTTAATGAATATTTACTTCATTTTGGGTATGTTTTAGTAGGGTATCTCCATGCCGGAGTTACGGGTCAAATTTTGGATAGGTTTCTGAACAAGCGCATTTAAAAATGCTAGCCGGACCAATTTTACCCCATTGAAATTGTACGAATGGGACCGAGACAGAGTCTCTACCCGGCAGTGGCTCACGAGTAGTCCTTCAAATTTTGATCACTGAATGGTAAACTCGCAGTAGAAAAGGATACAGCATAAGAAGTCGCATCTCCTTTTCCTTCTGTCTCATCTTCTTCAGAATTGTGAGCAGTCCCATGATTTTTAATTCCACTTGTAAGTTGTAAAGTAAAGTTGTTGCTACCGTTCAAAATATAAATATTCATTAAAATTAGGATTATTTATGTCGCCCTCATCGTACAACTACAGAGAAGTAAAACATTTACATGGGCCAAGACCAGAAATTTGGGTTATTGGTACCACTCTAGATGGCAAGATCTTTTAATATATTTTGAAAGGTCCCATATCTATACATAATATTTTGATATGAAAGCATTTTCAGACTGGCAGGTCCGTCATAGAATCAGCAGTTTCCATGGCTACACGACACTAAAACCGGTATTATTCAATGAAACAGTATAATTTATAAAAACACTTTTGAATGCGGAAAACTGAAAGTTGAGAATACCTCACCATGAATATTATCATTATATTATGTACATCAACCTCGAAATATCCTCCATTAACCTTCACATGTGCTCCATGAATTACACTCGATAATATATGTATATTTTCTCAATTATATTCGCTTCATATGTATACATTTCATCTGTAATCGCACCAAAATAACTCCTCAGGGAGAGCATTGATGTTACATATTTATTTCTGACTTGTGTTCATCATTATAGTATATTATGTACATCGCCTTGGAGATGTGCGCTATCGACCTCAACATGTGCTCCATAAATTACACTTGCTAATAATATGTTTATTTTCTCAATTATATTTGCTTCATGTGTATTTTTTTTTAGCAGATGTTTCTGCATTTATTGATAAATCAAATATAAAACATTAAAATAACAATTATAGTATATAATATAATTGATTTACTTAAAGAGTGACAACTTGAATACACACAAATAAAAATGCATAATTGAAAGCTTGAAAGTATGGAGGTAAGTAACAATCATCAAGATAAATGCAGAGGCCAACTATCATAAGCAAGAATGCTTGAAGGGGGGGGGGGGGTGGTGGGGTTCATGGCGCTGTCATAGGAGTATGTAGGAATAGAGTGTCACGTATAAAGATTTTGTTCAGAAAGTATCTGAATAAAAAGTGGAAAGAAATTAAAGAAGAAAATAATAATTGCAAGTGTGTGCAAGTGGGTGTGTGCACGTGAAGTAAGTGTTCGATTCGTATTGTTAATGAACTGGTCATCTAAAATTAATTTATATAAACAAACAATAAAAAAATATGAGACCCTTATAATGTTTTTGAATATGTAGATATTAAATATTTTTTCATCGATGCTTTGAATGAATAAAGAGTTGCATAGTGTTTAATATTGTCAGGTAAAGCATTCCAAATATCTGGACCATGATGTCTTATCGATGTATAGGCTAAACTAATTTTGGGGTTGGTTAAGTGGAAATCGGATGAGCGTCGTGTAGGATAGGAATGTATATCATTATTGTAAACAAAAATATCTCGAAATGCCAAAGGTATAGTATTTATCCAAAATTTATACATAAAGATTGCAGTTTGAAAACTGTATATGTCAGCGATTTTTAATGTTTTAAGTTTACAAAACATTGGATCAGTATGGGCTAAATAATGTGAATGTGTACAAAGACGAAGTGCTTTCTTTTGGAGACGATATATTAACATAATTTTCATCTTACTACTATTACCCCACACTATGTTACAATATTGACCCTCCAATAATCAATTACCCTGGGTATTTCTACCCGAATTTCTATTCAACCAACCAATCGAGCTCTAATAGGTGCAAAGCGCATGTGTGAAAGTCGCGCTACCATTGTGACCTCATGATGGTACGCTGTGCATAAATATCCACGCTCTAGCTTTCACTGGGTAGAGATTTACTGCCTTCTGATTGGCTTAAAGTTTTTCCTCGATGACGACATAATGGTTGGTATGGTTGCGCGTTGAATGGTCTCTTTTTGTCAACAAACCGCTGCGCTTTGTGTTCAGTTTTGATCTAGCTTCCGAGTGCACATGTTGCTTCTTCTGAAGTGCTTTCGAAACTTTCTTCATTGAATCAGCGAATTCAATCACGTTCTCCAAAAGAGATATCTCCCGAGATTTCTACTTTGTTAACAGGTAATTCAATCAAATTTCCCTCTCTCCCATGCACCAATGGTTTGGAATAAACTGAATAGTAGTTACCATATTTAAAAATGCAGTTACTAAAGAACTTTTTTCCAAAATGTAATCGTCTACCCTCCACCACCTCCAGTCAAAACTATTCTTCTGAGTATTTAGGAGGAAAAGAATCCAAGATCCAAGATCCATATAATTCCACTTCTCACAAATTTTATATCATAAGTGTATGTATTTTTTCCAAAGGAAAAAGTTACACGAATTTAATGATATACCTACTTCAAGTTTAAATCCAGTTTGACTGGTAGGCCTATGCCAAATTAAGACACATTATGTACGGACAAAAATCAACAAAATATGGATGAAATAAATTTGATAGAATATTTTGGAACCGTTAAAAATTAGCTAAAAACTTAATTAACTACAATTAAAAAAAAAGATTCACTCCAGAACTGAATATTAATTTGTTCGTAGATAAATCGCAGATAAGTCTCTGACAATGGTAGACATTGGTATGTCAGCTCAGAGAAAGCGGAGGGCTCAACGGATGGCAAATCGCCGTCAAAGACTAGCCCTGGGACCAGTGTCCGACCACGGGGATGAGATCCTTCAAGCCATTGAGATAGTCAAAGCCATACTGGTCAAAGCTAAGCAAGAAGCCCAAGCTTACCCCGGCGGAGATTTCCCCAAGGAGTCGAAAGACCAGCAAACCGAGTCTTCTGCAATCTCAACGTTCATCCCAAAACAGAGGTACAGCAAATATTTCTCTTTTTGTTTTCTTCTCCCTTCTTAACATGTAAATTCGGAATTTAATTTGCTTATGATACATAAATGAATTACCATCGAGTAGAAAACCAAGTGTTGTAATTGAGCATAATGATACCCAGTCCTGATGATACCTACAATATTGAAAAGCCATCATACATATTGCTGAGTCACTGAGAAGATCTCAATACATTTTACATGAAATTAATGAATTCGATGGTCATGCACTTAACAGAGAAACCTTTTGATTTGGGTGGCATTTATTTATTACTTTGTACACTGTCGCTCATAAAGGTGGAATATATTTTTTTTCATCCCAATTTATGGAATTATTTTTAAAATAATTTAAAAATAATAGATCTAGATAATGGTATACATTCTCGGATTTTATTGAATAATAATTTGCCAATGTGTGTTTTGCGTGACTGCTAAAGCATGTGTATGCTACTATGCTTATCAAATAGGGGACCTATGCCCTTAAGTCATAAATGAGGATTAATGCCCCACAAAAGGGCACTAATATAGCACATCGACACGGTTTTGATCATGGGGCCTCACAGTTACGAGGCCATTGCTTTGTCACTTAACCATGACTGTACGCAGCGGGGGCTAGGGTAGGGGGCAGTTTCCATAAATAAAAAAAACACAGAAAATGCAATAAATGTTCAATAATTTATTGCATTTTACCCCGGGTCCCAACATAAAAAATCTTTTGCGTGCCCATGCCTTGAGCCATAATGCATAGCCGGCCAGAGGATTTTTTTATGTTGGGGACCGTGGTAAAATGCAATAAATTATTTTAAATTTATTGCATTTTCTGTGTTTTTATTTTTTTATGGAAACTGCCCCCTACTCTAGCCCCTACTGCGTACAGTCATGGTTCAGTGACAAAACAATGGCCTCGTAACTGTGAGGCCCCATGATCAAAACCGTGTCGATGTGCTATATTAGTGCCCTTTTGTGGGGCATTAATCCTCATTACTGTCATTTATGACTTGAGGGCGTAGGTTCCCTAGTTAATAAGCATAGCATATACATGCTTTAGCAGTCCCGCAAAACACACATTGGCAATTTATTATTCAATAAAATCTGAGAATGTATACTATTATCTAGATCTATTATTTTTAAATAATTTTTTTAATAGTTCCATAAATTGGGGTAAAACTAAAATATTCCACCTTTATGAGCGACAGTGTAGTTTACTATTTCTTGTCTCTTTTCTCAAAACAGTTATACTCTTGAGCCAGAGATATCGGCCCAACAGAACAAGAGTGTTGATGAAGAGGTCATCCACATGCTGAAACCTAAAGTCTCATGTCAGACTCTCATACTCGATGACCTCGTGACCTTTGACATGGGATGGACTGTAAAGGTATGGAAGTCAAAGTTCTTTTTTTGAAATAGAAAATGTATTCATGATCCACTGAAAGAGAGACAGAGGGAGAGTGAGAGAGAGAGAGAGAGAGAGAGAGAGAGAGGGGAGGGGGGGGGGGGGTTCTTAGCAAGACACGATTATAGCCACTGAAACATCGGATGGACTTAGTCAGTTTTAAGTCCTCATTAAAAGAATCCCTCAGAAGTTGTAAGCTGAGAGAAGTTCGGAAAAGATATTTCATCCTTTCTCAGCGATGTTGTAGAACAGAAGACAAATACGTATAATTTGATGCTGAGTTACATTTAATCCTAAGTAACTTGCTTCAAATTTCAATATTCTTTTTTCTCTTTACAGAGCATCATTACGCTCAAAGAAATTGGAAGGGGCAGCTATGGTCGGGTTGTGATAGCACGTCATCGTTCCACAGGCGTTCTTCTTGCCATCAAAGAGCCGTCATGGTCAGACGACTTCGCCTCGCCTGGTGAAATGGTTGAAGAACTCAAAGCAACCAGGACCAGAGCAACAAAGGAGGCAATGATCCAACAGTTGTTGTCAGGCAGTCCTTACTTTCCCAAGTTCTGGGGTACCCTTGATCTCGGCAACGAACTCTGCCAGGCCGTCGAGTTCGTAGGGTGTAAGAAAACGGGGACTGGCTACCCTCTCCACGAACCGCCATCGCTGTCGATGTGCAACGCTTTCAAGATCGCAGAGGACATCGTCAAGGGCATGATGGAGTTTCATGATCACGGACTTCTCCATAATGACCTCAAGAACGATAACGTACTCCTGGAAAAACGTGGCAAGCGATACAACGCCGTCATCATCGACTTCGGGATGGCAAGTACGATCACCGCCCCAGCGAAAATGGTCGGAGTTGCCAAAGAACTCAAAATGGCGTATGTAC